TCTTTGTATATGGCAGTAATTGAAAAGGCTATAAAAACATGATCAGTGATGGGCGGATATGTAAAAGAAGTCATGTAAGAGACTGGCTTTTGTTCCCTAATTGAAGTTAGGAGAAAATGATTTGAGAATGGCAAAATCCTCACAGCCTCACTACCTAAACAGAGAATAATAACATTTACAAAAATTATTTATAGTCACTAATAAAATTAATTTAAATATTTGATCTCTTTTGAAATTCTAGAAAAGGGATTACCCGCAGACTGGGGAAAATATGGACACACAAATCACCTAAAAATGGATAATCAGATACATGAAGAATGAAGTACCTAATTATCTAATACGTGAAGCAGATTTGGTTAATTAATCTGAGGTTTTTATACCATTTTCTATCTTGTCCTTGTTTACTTGGCTGCTGTGATGTCTCAATAATTTAAGTGCAACCATTAGAAGGGTTAAATAACTATGCTAACCATCATTAAGGTGGTATGAATGGAGAAATTAACCCTAATAGGGGTTCACTTCTAGAGACGAGCAACTTAACTTATGCCGTTGTTTCCAAATAACTTCTTTTTAGGATGAAAGAAGACCAGAGGAAGTTCTGCCCCTTCCTACCCCATGCAAAACCTGGGTTTCTAGATTCAGAATAGAGAGGTTTAGGGGGTCCGTAGTGTGGGAGCAGTACCTTCATGACAAAGAAGAGTGAGATGACGATGACAACGTTGACCTGGGGGTGAATCCACACAGCTGACCGGCCCAGGCTCTCAGGGTCACCTGCATGTTTTACCCATGTATTGTTGTCAAACAGGGTACTGATGGCTTCCCGGGGCATCAACTGTGAAGGAAGCAGTGAAGGCAGGTTCTCCAGGGACAGACTGTACTTCCTTTTTTTAGTGGACTGATTCCCAAGCCTCATTATCCAAGGGTCCCTTTTCTCAGGGGGAGACTCTACCCTTGAACAAAATGACAGATGCCCTGAAGCCTGAGGGACATCTGTGCTGTTTCCTCTTTTCCATGCTCCTAGTCCTGACTTAGTAACCTAGTCACGTGCTCAGTGATCTAACCACCACCCTCAGACTCCCTGAGAGCTGACCTCTCCAGCCATGAATTGACCCACTCCTGGTGGAAAGGTGAACGAGGCGATGATGAAGGTGACAATTCCAGGATACAGAAGGCGGCTGAAAAAGAAACAAAGTTAACCCTCCCCCTAGTTTAGCCAACCCACTGTGAATACCACATTGAACCTTGGCAAGCTGGTTTCCTGTAGTCCGCCATAGTCTCAGTTCTTTAAACAAAGAGCATTCTCTTCA